AACTTGAAGGTTAACCTTGGGAAAAGCTGTGTTGTGGGGATGAATTTGGAGGAGGGAGAGATCAGGGAGAGTGCTGAAGTGCTGGGGTGTGAAGTCTCAGGGTGGCCTTTGAACTACTTAGGGTTGCCTTTAGGTGATAATCCTACGAGAGAGAGCTTTTGGAACCCGATGGTGGAAAGGTTTGAAAAATGACTGGTGTCACGGAAAAAGAACTACCTCTCTCTTGGTGGGAGAATTACTCTTATTAAGGCCACACTTGCTAATTTACCTATCTTTTTCCTGTCGGTGTTTAAAATTCCAGTGAAGGTTGCTAATAGATTGGAGAAGTTAATGAGAGATTTCCTGTGGGAACCGGGAGAGGAAAAGAGGAATCATAGAGTTAGTTGGGAGATAGTTTGTAGGAGTAAGACATGTGGTGGTTTGGGGCTTGGGAATATTAGGAGAAGGAATATGACTCTGTTGGGAAAGTGGTTGTGGAGATTCCCCTTGGCGAAGGAGAAGCTATGGGCTAGAATAGTGGCAAGTATTCATGGACTGGAGCATAATGGATGGGATGTTGGAATCAAAGCTAGGACCACAAGCAATTCTCCTTGGAAAGCCATTCATGACCTGCTACCAGTTTTCTCCCCTAATATCAGGTATGATTTGAATTCCGGTAACTCCATAAAATTCTGGGAACAAACCTGGGTGGGGAGTGCCCCTCTAAAGGATCAGTTTCCTTCTTTGTATGCTCTTTCTGATCTGAAAAATGAGCTGATATCGTCTTTTACCACCCCTTCCTCTTCCACTTATGGGATTGGGTGGAACTTGGGTCTAAGAAGGGATTTAAGGGACTCAGACTTTGACAATATTTTTAGCCTTATTGCAATTCTTGATAACGTTGTCTTAGACCCCACTAGGGCGGATAATCAGAATGTGGACACCTTCTCCCAACGACAATTTTTCTTGTGCTTCTTTCTTCAAAGCCTTAAGTCAGTCCACTAGTCCTACCTTACCTCCTTTTCCTATTGATGAGGTTTGGTGCAGAGCAATACCTCCTAGGGCTGGTAGTTTTTGTTGGGAAGCCTATCTGGAAAGAATCAACACTGGTGATCTACTACAAAAGAGGAGACCCAATACTTGTTTGATGCCTTAGTGGTGTGTTATTTGTAAAGCAGATGGGGAGACTGGTTTTCACCTACTGGTGTCTTGCCATTTTGCGAGGTCAATTTGGGAATGGGCTTTGTCCCTATTTGGATGTAGTTGGAATACCCCATCAGACTTGCAAGGCCTTTTTTCCTCTTCTCTTTTCAGGTGGCTGATAAAA